GTTTCCTTTTTGCTTTCCTTTTCTTTTTTTCCTTTTCTTCCCAAATTCATGAACATTTTTTTTATCAAATTCAAAAAATGTTTGCAATTTGTAAAAATGCTCAATGATTAAAAAAATGTGCATAAAATTCCTTTTTTGTTCATCAGATTGAAAACATGTTCATTAAAATTAAAAATTAGTTCATCTAATTGAAAAATTGTTCACCAAATTCAAAAATTGTTCATCCATTTCAAAATTTGTTCCCCAAATTTAAAATTTGTTTGTCGATTTCAAAATTTGTTCATCAAATTAAAATTTTGTTCATTTTCTTTTTTTATTTTCTTACAAAATTTGTATGTTCATAAAATTCGTTTTTTGTTCATCGGATTGAAAAAATGATTTTGAAAATTCAAAATTCGCTCATCAGATTCAGAAAATGTTCATCAAATTCGAAATTTGTTCATCGATTTCAAAAATTATTCACCAAATTCAAAATTTGTTCATCATCTTTTCAAAATTTGTTCGTAGGTTTCAAATTTTGTTCAATGAATTCAAAATTTGTACTTCCATTTTTCAAAAATATATTCTTAAATACAATTTTGTTCATCAAGTTTAAAAAATGTTCATCGTATTAAAATTTTGTTCATCAAATATAAAAAAATGTTCATCACTATTAGAAAAATGCTCATATAAATTTGTTCGTCAAAATAACTAAATTTTCATTAAAATTCAAAGAAAGTTCATTATTTTTAAATCAGGAACATTTTTTTACAAAATTCAATTTTCTAAATTACGAATTATTTTGAAGAAAAACGGAAAGCAAAAATAGTAAAAAAACAAATTAGAAAAACCGGGGCTTTCAGCCCCGCTCGTGGGCCAGCCCACTAGGTGCGCACGGGAGCGGACGGGTGCGCGCTGGCATGTTCGCCAGCGCGTCAGGTGCCATATAGGAGAGCTCCCTACTAAGACAAGATAAACCATACATACCACAATGTCTTGAATGTGATAGTTATAAATCACATTTTTCACAAACAAGGTGTCACATATCTCTGACAAGTGGCCATAACGTTTCTCTCGTGTTCAACATGTTTGCTGAACAAGAGAACAACTTCTCAAGAGTTCGTGCTATTATTAGTTCATCTTCAAGCTGGTAAGCGTGCATCAACCAGCATCTTGTGCGGATTTATGTATCAAGCACCCGATCTACCGCCCTTCAAAACAATCTGATCGTATACAAGGTAGGATCAACTGTTGCGCATAGGAAATGGCACCAGAGTGTAAGCTAATCAGGTTGTCTGACTGAACCATCAAGGACAGCACCAAGAGACACACAGTACCAGGCCAAAAATTAAACTGATGAACTACGAGGTGAATTGGCATTGTCATCTGCAGCTCTGCTCGGCACCGGCAATGAGCCGATCAATCAGCTGGCGAAGGAGTGTTCCGATCAGTCAGCCATGGTTGCCTTGCCGACATGGCTGAATCTGAATCCTCCATCTTTCTACCTGAACAACATGTTGTTTACCTCCCCTGCACCTGTACCATACATACAGGTACCCCATCAGTTCAGTATGGTTCAGTTGAGTTGCTATCAATCATGCATCTATATATGTATGCACACAACAACTGTTCCATGTGTGAAGCAAATGTAGATGCAAAGCTTACCTGTCTGGCTGCTCCAGGCATCGTCCGTCATCAAGGGTGCCATCTCGGTCAAACACCCTGGTGCACACAACCTGCAACCAGTTCGTGAGACCTATTCTCAGATATAAGAATGTATATATAATATACCAACCCTCATCGCAACACTAGAATTCGAATCTTGGTACAGATTTATCAAGAATAAATGCTGAATTCTTGGCAAACGAAAGGTGTTTAATTATCAAATTAAATAGTCCTGACAGTGTTCCATTTTTTACATACTCCCTCCATTTTTATATACAAGGCCACAAACTCATATTACAGGTACCAAGGTAAAATTTAATGCTTACTTTGCAAGTCACCATTTTTTTTTCGTTTACTGGAATCATTAATACGCAACATGCATGCAAGGAAACTGAGTGGAGGAACTAGCTAGTGTCATTATGTTGGCATGCATGCAAATATTAAACAGGTTGCTAGTACGAGGAAATGTCATTAATTCTTTCCTCGATTACTGTTTGTGGCCTTGTATAGATGCAAAACGTATATCTCATAGTGGCCTTGTATAAGTAAATGGAGGGAGTACCTATCAACAACGGTTCAGTTAGTACCAAAGGTTCAGCAACAAGTTCATTATTGGTGAGGACGGTCTCCCTATATATCCTCCTCCACATGCATTGGGGTCCAAGAGCCCAGCAGCAACAGAGAAGAGTCCTGCCACTTTACTCCTTGGTGCCCTTCAAGCCCGCACGTCGTCAGTCTCCTTCTCCTTGATCTTCCTGAGCTTTCTCGGGAACTACTGACTGTCCTGGGTGCACTCTGCATCAGCCAGCAAGAGTTTATCCACATGCAATCTGTGCCGGCCAAGTGCCGTGAGTATCCCAAGCAATGCTTCCCAGAAGATTGACAAGGATGCCACATCACAAAGTATTAGAAATCATCACTAGTAGCATAAAATATCTCATTGAAACAAATTTGTGAAGTAAAAACAGGAATTAGAAAGGAGAGATGTGATGTTCTCTTCTGTTGCTATGGCAAGGAAATCATACATGATATGGCATCTTTTCTGGTGCTTCCTAGCTCAATAGAAGTGCCACTGTTCCAGGATTAAAAAAAATGAAGTACTACACTCAACACCCAGACATGAACATCATTCCCATCCACACATACCACCAGACCAATCAACAGTTTGTACAATGTTTCTAATACTTCCACCATTTGGTTGGAGTAGCTGCCAAACCAGTCTGTTGGTGCCACTGCTATCACCTTCTCACCATCACTAGAGCATGTAACATGTATCTCCTAGTTGCAGGTTCTAACAGGCATGGTTGACACTTTCAGCCTTTATCCTTCTTCTCTAACAGATCATCCTCTAAAAATATATTGACACAATAAGAATTTAGAGAGTGGAAAACATGCTTACAGAAATATTATTTGTACTGCAGATGGAGACACGGTAACAGGTACATGGTTGCTCAAATTTGGTGGTTTGAAGAAGATGAAGCAGCATTAATTGACAGATTTTGGACTGTCTTCCCGTTAAGTCGAATGTATGGAACATGAGAAATGTTTGGCCAATCTGATCCTCCAGGTTTGAAGTTATTTTCCATGTTGAAGCCATCCATGATCAATTCTTGGAGGTTAAGTGGCACAAGTCCGTTCAGTGACACCGGTAACGTCATGGTAAAATGAAGTCTTTTCAACGAGACAAGTCTGCCTAGTGTAGAAGGGAGTCGTCCGTGGAGAAAGCGACAGTGAAAAAACTCAATTTTCTCTACAGAGATCAGTTGTTGAAACCATTCCTCCTGCTCTGGGGTAAAGCTAAAGGCCTCCAAATAAGAGATACACAGATCTCTCACTGAGGAGAGGAAAGAATTTCGATTAATCAAGCTCACATCTGTTTCTAGATTGGTAAGGTGAAGTACGCCCTGCTCATCTTGTCTACTTGAATTGTCTGAGAACTCGGCAAGAATGTTAGGACAGCCATAAACATTAACTTTCCTGAGGCTGGGAAAGCAGTGTAACCCATCAATCAAACGTAGCCCTCCACATTTTCTAAGATATAGATACTCCAGTGACTTCAACTGATGCCCAGAGAATAGCACTGGGTGATCGCAGTAAGACATACTTAATTTTTTGAGACATGCCAAGAGTTGTAAATGTTGTGGCAGTGCCTTGACAAAGTCCCCACAAGCTGAAATGTCAAGTTCTGACAGTGAAGATATGAATGATAGATACGGCACTTCTTCCAGTGAAGGGCAATTGTGAAGTCGAAACCTGGTGATGTGTGGAAGGAGAGGGCCATGATCTTCTTCGGCATGTAACCATTTTATCCATGATGTCATCGAAGAAATAGTTAAGTCCTCCAAACTTGGGAGGCAACCGAAAGATGTTCCATCGACATGCTTCACTGACGACAGGTTATCTAGGGTGAGATGCTTGAGTGAAGGGAATTTTCCAAATGGTGGAAGTGCAACCAGAAGTCGACAGTTTCCAACATGAAGGGACTAAATTTTTGTAAAGATGTGACCTTGCAACATCCAGCTTGGTGAAGTTGAGGCCCCGTAACCTTCAATCATGAGCTCTTTCAGATTTGGGTGCGGCTGCAATCCTTCAAGTACATCTTTGGATACATTTCTCCCCTTCAACTCCAAGGCCTCAAGGTGCTTCTTCTCAATCATATTGGCATCCATTGCCTCATGTGTGCTCCTAATGATGTGGATATTGCTAATGCAAAGTTTTCCAGATAACTCTTGCATGTTCTTTATCTCACTTATCATGAATCCATTTCTCTTTCCAGCGCTGAAATTCTCCAATTCTTGAAGTTTACTTAGTTGTCCAATACTAGGAATCATAAAGAGAGAGCTGTAGCATCAACATACAGGTGACGTAAGTTGGCAAGACTATTGATGCTTTGAGGAATAGTATTCCGGGCATATCCGCGGAGGTATAGAACTTGAAGATTGCAAGGGAAGTTGCGCAAATTGCTGATTTTTGTGAAAGAAAGATCAAAGAATCTCAATTTTCTCAAGGAAGAAATGTTGGGCAGCATATTTGTCAGCACCTCCAAATGAGACAAGTCCAACACTCGTATGCTACTTGAGTTAGCCAACATATTGTCCAGAATATCACAAATTGCATTACTGTCACAATGACCAAACAGTAAGATTGTCCGCAGATTTTTATACTTGTTGAGTTCATGAAGGTGAAGTTGATTACCAACGTGCAGAGCCAAGTGGCGAACAGTTGGTGATGCTCTCTGTGAGGTCTCTCTGTGGAGAAAGCATTCATATGAAGAAACACCAATTGCCAGAGCCCGTACTAGATCGTGCATAATGTACCTCTTTTTGTCAAATGTAGCCTGGAATGATCTTTGCACAAGTTCATCAAACAATTTACCTCCAATATCCTCTAATCTAGTGCCACCAGATGCGCTTTGTTCAATGAAATCGTGAGAAATCCACATATTGACCAATCTATCTTTATCAAACAAGTAATTTCCTGGAAAAATCGAACAGAAAGCGAAGCACTGCCTTTGTCTAGGCTGTAGATCCTGATAACTAATCCCCATGTATGGAAGGATTTCACAAAGAACTTCACTCAGGTCCCACCAATCGCTCTCAAGGATGCTTCTCCACTGGTGTACGGTAAATCTGGATCTTAACAGATTTCCCATTACTTTTGCTGCTAACGGCAAGCCATCTAGTTTTTTTGCTATTTGCTCACCAATTAACAGAAGAATCTGATTGTTCTCCACCACAACATTGCTGGTGCCAAATGCATAATACTGGAAAGCTGACCAAAAAACTCTCCCATGGCAAAGGTGCTAATGGAACTTGACACATTGTTGCTACTTTGTCTGCAACCTTTTTGCTTTGTGTTGTGACAAGAACTACAATTCCTGGCACTTCACGAGTTATGGCAGTAAGCAAACTATTCCACTGCTCACACATCTCATCCCAAACACTATCTAGCACAAGAAGGAATCTTCCTTCCTGCTGGATGACATTTTGAACATTGTTAACAACTGTTTCCAGACTATCAGCGTAGTCAAAAGATGAATCATTTCCTTTCAAAGAGCGCAACATCTCTTGCAGGGTTCTCTTCACACTAAAGTGTCTTGAAACATACACCCATGCTCTCTGTCTAAAGTGGCCCTTCACACTTCCATGATTGTAAATGACTTGAGCAAGGGTTGTCTTCCCAACTCCGCTCATACCAACAATTGGTATAACATCAACACCACCAATGCGGCACCTTGCCCCAAGCTTTGCTCTTACGCTACTGGATTCTGGTTCAGAGCCAGATGAACCCAGAACAATTTTCAGTATCATCTCCAGAACTTCATCGCGGCCAAACACCTTGACATCAATCGGAACACGAGAAGTAGTCTCTCCACCTATTCCCTCCTTGGTGGATGCTAAGCTGCTCTGCTTCATGAGCTCCAGAAATATGTTGGACGTTGCGCAAAGGTGGTCGAGCTTTTGCACAACACATTCAAGCATTCGCAGACTCTCATCAGGCACAATCAAACCTCTCAGGACCCTAACTGATGACGATATAAGCTCGGACACCTTGCGCTTTCCTGTGAATACCTCACGAGTGTCAAATCTGTCGAGCACATCCTCTGCTTCATAGGCAGCATCATGGAGGTTCCTCAACCACTTGGTAAGACTAGTGTTGATGATAACCTCATTGTCAGCCACCTCAGTTATTGCCTTCACGATCGTGAGGTTTGTGCGGAGTTTTGTCAGAAGCTCTTCAGTAGCATGGCTTAGATTATAGTTGTTGTCAAGGAAATCAATCGTCTAGTCGGCAACACGCTGGATAACTGCCGATGAGAAACCACCAGCCACCTGCTCTACAGTTGCAGACATCATGATTGGGACCCTGCAATGATGATATAATTTTTTAGTCCATACCTTTAAGTAGTTATGCAAAGTTGCCTCGTGTTAATGAAGAGGTGAGCAGATCAATGAAGAGCTTCAGCTTGGAAAGGAGATAGATCTCTGCTTGACTAAAGATCACTAGATACTAAAAAGAACTTTGAATCACTATGCAGACAAGGAGACCAGGAAATTACTTTCATATGCCCACAAATCAGAAATTAGCTGAGTTTTCCTATTATATTTGTTATAATTGTGAGAACAGACTTTAGTCCCCGAGGGCCTGGAAAGAGATTGTACAGAATGGCATCTCTGGGTAGTGCTGTAAATGTTACTTAGTAAATTCGACACAGGAACTAGCCTGCATGCGGTTATCTTTTTTGCTTTTTGTATCCAAGAAGAGCATGCCAAATATCAAGGTAATAATGAAAAAGTCGGAACAGAGTACAGAAGGAATTGGGAAATTTTAGGAATTATAGGCTCAAGTAACCAAGTATCAAGAAGATGAACAGCTAAGTTAAAGACGACCAAGTCCAGCGAAATTAACAAAGTAGCACAGGATATAGAAGGAATCGAGAAATCCTAGGAATTGGGCCTGAACAAACTTTAAACCATATGAGCAGATCTTGAATAGATTCAGACGCAATCTTCACCAGGAATGAAATGGTGTGTGTGTGAAGCTGGGGAGAGCCGTACCTGCGAGAGAGAGAGAGAGAGAGATGGCGGCCGGTGATCCTGCGGGAGGGGAAGGGGCTGGCTGGAAGGTCGGAGATGGCCCGCGGCGGCGACGACAAGCGATGGATTCCCGTGTTCCAGGTCCGAGCCGCCGTCACCCGTCAGCTGCTATCCTGAAGCTGAAAGTTGCCGGATCGGGCGGTGCGAAACTAAGAGCATCTACAGCCCGCCGGCGATCACGAAAGTTTGATTCAGGCGGATGCTTTTGACCCAGAAGGACACTTTAAACGTGACTCAAACAAACGTCTGAACTAATCGTCATCTTTTGTATCCAGCCCGGGTCGATATGGACGCGTCCGAGCGGACCCGACTCACGCTTGCCCACCCGGCCCACATATATTCCTCCTCATGAGCTCGCCGGACTAAATCCTAACCACTTCACTCCACTGCCCTCCGCCTCCCAAACTCACCTCCGACAATCTCCGACCTTCTCAGTTATGGCGGGCAGCGGATCTGACTTCGATCAGTCCGGAGCCGTCGACTAGGGTGTCATTTCCTGCGGGTTGAAGGAGGCAATGGTCGCCCGCATTGCACTCTGCCGCTCCTGGGAGGACAACGCCCAGCGGACGACGGGATCTGTCCGGCACTACTCCATAGCGTTAGCTCAACGGGCGTTCGAATCCTTGGGGGCTGGATCATCGCGGTCTCAGCATCCTTCAAATCTCTCCTTCCCCATCACCGGTCGGGCGAGGTATGAATCCCACCAAGACCGGTGTGCCAGGCGTGGGGAGGAGAGGATAAGGGTCGCCGTGGCCCCACTCGCTGCCGACACGACGACGGCAAAGGCAGCTAATGCGGCGGCTGGGCGGCCATATAGGAGGAAGTCATCCGCACCCGCATTGTGAAGAAGAGGCAGCGAAGGAACACGCGTGTCTCATCCTGAGAGCAAAGTCGGGCGGTCTGTGCCATGGTCGGACTGCCACCAAATGAGGACAGCGACGGTGAGAACAGCTCCGGTGATGAGCAAATCCGGCTCAATCCCTACTGCATGTTCCACTGGTACTTCCGCAAGAAAGACGGCAATGGCGCCTGAAAGAGCAAGGGTAGCCCGGGATGATCTTCTCCACCATAGCCAAACATGCCAAATTTCGGTAGTACGATGGCATGTTTGGCAATGTAGTAGTTTGAAGATGTGTAATGTATCGTTTATGTATAGTTGCATGAGTTTATATGGATTTGAGGTATGCGAATTGAGGTGTCCGGCTGTAGACGCTCTAATTTACATCTATGGTACTCTCTCTATCCATATATAGGTCCTATTAAATTTTTTCATGTCTTTCACTATTGATAAAATTAATAATATGTGAGATATATAATGTGAAAATTTTATCATTAGAAGCTCCTTTAACGTACGATATTTTTGAAAAACTTCTGATATATTCATCTTTAGTCATGCAATAAACACTAGAAATAATAAAAGTTACATACAGACTCAATGTATGAATTTGACGCCATGCCTTGTGTAACTTAATGTCATATATTATTGCTTTAACATATGGTCAAAGTTAGCTTCAAAAAATGCATTAGACCTTATATATACGGACGAAGGGAATAGTATCTATTAATTCGTGGACCGGTCCAAACCTCTATTTTCCCGCAAATTGAAGGCAAACTATAGGATATGTGTGGGCGTTTGGACCACTGCCACCACGTACGCATCCGTCAACCCGGTCTCACCCAAAACTCTATCCCACGTCCACACCCTCTCTCATCGGCACCAGCTA